TGTGTGTGTGTGTGTGTGTGTGTGTGTGTGTGTGTTCATTTGTCTCCGTCAGGTAATCGTTCAAACAGGAACCTGTGATATTGCTCGTATCCCTACGGTGCACATTCAATGTAACACAATAGATATCACATGGTCCGACGCTTATTTGTGTCCCCACTTGGATTAACTGATAGTCATGGCGGGTCCTGACCTGATAAAAACTATTTTATATACAATCAATCATCTCCTACAACAGGAGAAATACAAAGCAGCCCTGGCAGTTTTGAAGGGATTCAGAAACGGCGCCGTGTGAGTGAACGAAACTGTAAACTAGCGACAGAAATGTACTATTTGTTAATAATTTACTTAGATACGAGCTTGGACAGTATTCATGTGATCCCGTTACAAAAATAACTCTTTTTTCATAATGCCTGCCAGGCTGTGGCTTGTTCTCGTGTCTGTGTTTTGCTCAGTATGTGAGTTTTGGAAGTTCAACCTTTTTTTGCAGTAAAAGTTTCAGAAGTTTAGTTTGCTTTACAGCCTGAGCAGGTTTTGTAAAGCAGTCTTTGTCATAAATCACTTATTGTTTAATCTGTAGTCTTTGTTGAAATTAATTCAATAATAAAATGTTTTTTTTTAATGCCTCAGATATGGGGCCAAGATCAGAGCACCTCACGCCCTGGTTATGACATTTCTCTTTAGAAGTGGCAGGTAAGTAACCCCTTAAAACCATTTTACCTTTTATATTTTTATGCTATTTTCGCAAAGATCCTGTTGTCACATGACCATCCGTGTGTTTGATTTGGTTTCTTTTTGTTTCTTCAGTCTGAAGGACAAACTCAAAGCCATTCTCAAAGCCACGTACACCCACTCTCGGAACCTGGCGTGCTTCGTGTTTACATACAAAGGACTACAAGCCTTACAGCAGCAGATCCAAGGAAAGAGCCAACAGTCTCACTCCTTTCTAGCTGCCTGTGTTGGAGGATGGTTAGTGTTTGGAGACAACAACAACATCAATAGTCAGGTATGGCTAACTGCAGGTCAAACTCCTCTCTTATCAGTCTAGCATGTCACTGCTTCCTTATAGAGGAGGAAATAAATGCACTTCAGGGTATTGAATCACTTTTACATAAATAAAATCACAGTTATAACACAAAACATTTTCACTTATCGGCTAAGATTTACTGTCTGCACTTTTTAATTTTTGTGAAAATTTATTTTTGACCACATCCAATCTACTTTCCACTGAAAACTGTCCAAATATATTTTTCCACATGCACATTTACCATCATGGTTGCTGTCCTCATTCGTTCGTTCGTTCTTCCGTCCGTCCGTCCGTGTTTTCTTCAGTCCAACATCCATCCACAGTTATTGACTTCTCTCCAATCCTCTTTAATCTTGTTTTCTATTGTTTACAAAGTAACACTTTGCTTCTTTGTTCAGTTTCAGAGAACTGATTTCTCACTATTTGTTTGCAGATATTGAGTCATGTTTTTGTCTGCATTTTTAGTTGTCAGTTCATATAGTAACTACCTGTCTTCCCTGACCATTTGACTTTTTGTTGTACATGAATAAAATATTTTAGAGCAGACTGAACATCCTCACAAAGTGGTAGATTCGGCACTGGATTTCTTTTACAGATTTATTAAAGCAGTTTTTTTGTGTGTGTGTTTGCTCATTTCCTAATCAATMTAGATCAACATGTATCTGCTGTCTCGAATCCTGTTTGCCTTGTCTCGACTGGCTGTAGAAAAAGGATTTGTCCCTGCACCCAAACGTGATCCTTTCCCACTGTTTGCCACGCTGGTTTGGGGCATCGTCTTGTGGCTGTTTGAGTATTACCCACACACTCTTCAGCCGTCSCTTCAGTCCTCCATGACTTACCTCTACCACGACAGCAATGTGTGGCACGACATCTCAGATTTTCTTGTTTACAACAAACCAAGGACTGCCCCTCCGAAATGAAGCTGTAGTAGTATTTTTGGATATCTTCTTTAGGGTGTTATAATTGCATTAAGTTTTTGTAATCTATATTCCAAATATAATTCATTGTTGTGTATGCTAAAGTATGCTTGGATCACTGTAATATATTTTTGTTTGTTTGTTTCACTGTTTTAATTTGTTGATTAATTATTTGTTTAATTTACCAGCATTTTTTTCTGAAGGACCCTGCCAGCAAAGTCGCAAACCATAACTTTGACACACAAATTGATTTGTGATATTTTGGCTTTCCTTACACTTGATTACTTTTAATTTAAATGCTCAAATGTCACATAAAAAATGACATTTGGCATTAAAAAAGAATAAATAATTTAGTGTTCTAAAATTGCAGCAATGTTAAAACAATGTGTTGATATTTTAATACAAATGATACTCCACTAATTCTGTTTTAAAATTCTTTAAATAAACTGAACGAATTCGGCATTATAAAATGTACAATAATATTAGAATTAAAATTTTCACCAGAGCTTTCCTGTTACGATTGTTTATAATGTTGCCAATTTTGTGCTAATCATATAATGTTTGAAAACCTAGAAATACTTTTTTCTAATTTGGACCAAAGGTTAAATTTAATTTGATGATGGTCTCTGTGGGGTAATCTATTTACATCTGACAGATGTTCTTTGCACAGGAGGATCAGTGGACAACTCCACAGATTCTCTATTTTTCTGCAAAGCAGTATGCAAACCAACAAAGCACTATTTTCTACTGTTTGTTTGGATGTACGAAATAATTCATACAGCCGAATGTTCCCAAATACTCTGGAGGCTKAAGAAAAAAARRAAARRAAAAAAAAACGGGTACATGTGTGCATGTCAAGGTATTTCTTCTTTTTTTCTTGAGTGCCTGATTGTGTAATTATTTATTAAGGGTGAAATTAAAAAAACTGCAACAGTAAAACCTGTTCCTGGATTGATGCTTTTCCAACCTTACTTTGTACCAAATGTGAAATGTGTCTCATTTGATGTGAACTCATGCAGATAATATAGGTTGCAGAGTGTGATACATGATGCACACATGCAGCATGTTGAGATTTTTTGTGCCTYGACAAATTACCTTTAATTATTTAATTAGCTGAGGGGACCAGGCTGTTTTCATGTTTACTGATTGATGCACAAGAGGAAAACCATCTGGATATTGTTATCTCGAGAAAACTTAATATAGTGTTTATATCGTAATGTACATTATATCGACATGTCATATGTCGTTATCATGAGAAAACCTTGGAAAATAATKRTATGCTGAAAACGTCTGCKCTTGGCTTCCMTAGATTTCAGATTTTMTGCAAGCACCATGAAACTTTTTTCTTTTTTATTAGAGCTGTCAAAATTCATTAAATTGTTCTCCACTTGTGTCATTATTTCCAAGTCATTAATCATCAGGTGACTGACGTCAGGAGAGCTGAAAATGTAAGACAGGATTAAASATAATTACAGGTGAGCCTTAAAGAAACAAGAATTTCATGGTTATTRTATTCATAACTGCTAGAACATCTAGAGAGTGACAAGGAGATCATTTACGTTATCAGGATTCATCCCTTTGGTGTGTACGTCTTAAAGTTGTGCCCATTTTCTTGGAAAAACAAAAATAAAATAAAAAAGGGAAAAAATTGAAAGTTTTTAGCAGCAAGTGATGCAACTTTCGTTTGTGCAGCGTGTCTTCTGGGCATTTTTAACATTTCTCAATTCAATTCAAAAAATTCAATTAAAAATTTATTAATTTCATTAAACATAACTATATACAATAAAAAACAAAGAAAATGCACAAATCAAAAATCAAAAATAAAATGAAAGGTAGCAGAAGAAGGAATAAATCTTTTAATGTCTGCCCCTTTCATCCCCAGAATATATTCAAGCAAAACATTTCTGCATGTTTTTGTTGATATAAATGACTAATTAATTATGACATTTTTAATCCTCCTAAATCAAATAAAATAATGAAATTGAAATGTAAATGCTCAACAATAAAAATCAGTCTAAAATTGATTATTAAATAAATGAAATCCTCACCCTGCAAGACTCCAGTGATAAACATGTTTTCACCTTAAGGGAGCTCAGGTCTAACTGAACTGTATGGAATGTTCTGAAGAGAGCACGTTTTACGCACACGTCTCTTCCGCTGTTCTAGTTGGTTTGACATGATTTTTAATGTCACCTTCCTTTGAAGGTGATGTTGGGACACGATGAATATCTTCACATGACTGATTGTGATTTCAACACGACACTCCTTCACCCCCAGAAAAGGCAATCTGCTGAATACATGCAGGCATTAGCAGCAGATGAGTCCATCTGATGGAGATAAAGCTTAATGTCAGATCAGTTGTCTAAAAATTCCAAAACATTTTAGGTTTTTACAGCTCCTTTCATATCAAACAATAAGCTATAAAYACAAAAGTAGAAATGCTGACTCTGCATCATAAAGCAGTAAGCGCCTTTGGGATTTTAACCAACTAGTTAAATTTTAGATAAYGCTGGGCCTTCAGAAACATGCTCAAACCAGCTTATTATAGTTGATTATTTGGACAAAGGAGCTTTATCTAGTAAGCTAAGCAACAAGCCTTTACATTTTTTAAATCCCTTTTTGAGTTAACATTGTTATTCATTCAAGTCAAGCTGATGGCTCAAGATTACAACACAGCACAATACAACAGCTACGTGTTAACATGCTGGAGGCAAATATACTGTTGTTTCAAGGATTATACAAAAAATTCAAAGCCCATCCATTCATGCAGTTATGCTTAAAAAGTACAGACTTCACATAGTAAAGAAAAACAACTAATGTGTGCAAAGACGTTTTCTAATTATGTGAACTCACTGACAAACTCTTGCCTTCATGTTTCATACCTATGTTGCAAGAGTAGCATGTTGTGGGAGTTCGCACAAAGGAACTGGCACCGAAGACTGGTTTTCTTTTGTTGACGTGGGTGAGTCTGATCACGCGTCAGATATGTACACTTTGTGCAGGAAAACTGTACAGGTGTCACCACAGCTGGCTTGGAGGTGTGTCTTTAATGTTTTGATAAAACCCTTAAGGGCGTTAGAAACCATCTCTATGAAAAACCTGTTTCCTTTCTAACTGCTGCCTGAAATGCTCCTGGGAGGGGTTGAGGTGAGGTTCAGGCTTATATAAACGAAGATGAGCACAGCAGGAGCACATTGATCCTGTTTTGAGACGAAGACACTGACACATGGAAGGTGAGCTTTGTCTCAGGGATGCTTCTGGTTCTCTTACTCTCTTTTTCTTGCACATTCTTTTACTATCTGACTAGCCAATTTGATGTATTTTTAGTTACAATATCTGAAACTGCARTTTCTATTTCTATTCTTTTTGCAGACTTGAGTATTCACCATGTTAACTTGGAATTATCTGAAAACCGGGAGAGACACCGAACAGGTGGCTTCAGCGCCTCCAATTCTCTGGTGGTGCGAAGAGGAGACCCCTTCAGAATCAGCGTCCAGTTTAAGGGCCGGCCCTTCAACCCCAACACTGATTCTCTGAAGATTGATGTGATGCTAGGTAACAAGCTTAATCTCAATATTTGCAGGTCAATGTTTGTTTGAAGTAATGCTTTTTTTTTCACCAGTTTTATCCAGTAAAAAAAAACTTTGTGTATTTTTTTTATTCCAAGGTGGGCTGTACACAATGATGCCGGTCACTTTCTCAAGGAAGGAATCATCTGCACCTTGGAATGCCTGCATAGACTCAAACAAATCGACCCCCCAGAACCTCTCCATCTTCATCTCCTCTCCTGCCTTCGCCTCGGTGGGCTGCTACAAGTTCCAGCTGTGTTTGTCCACACAGAACAACCGAGGGAGTTGTGTGTGTGGCAGTTTCGTTGTTCTCTGCAACCCCTGGTGTTCTGGTGAGTGTGACCAAGTCAAATATTAGTTATTTGTTAGAACTCACCAGAAATGTGTATAAAAAAACCCCACAGAAACCAATTCATTAGTTTAAATTTGGGATTTGCTCTCTGTAAGAAATATAACAACCGAATGGTTTAGCATCTCACCAAAAAACACTCCCCACAGCACATACATTCTTATCTGTGATTTTCTCTTTAGCACCCATGTGTGGATCTTTCTAGTCGTGTTGAATCTAAATGTCATTTCCTTATTTTCAAAKTGAAAACGTTTCCAAACCATTTCAGAGTAAAACTATTTGGCTCCTAAAAAGACAAAAAAAAAAAGAAAAGCTGTTTGTCTTATTGATCCAACATAAAACTAGAAGCCATGTTCACTCAGTGCTTTTTCTACTAGAGGTCATTTTTTTCTGTCATTACCACACAAAGTTAATCATTTACAGATTTATGTGAATTTGAAAGCCACTACTCTGAATATGTGGATGCTGTGCTGTTTGTCTCTTTTACTGAATGGTATTTTAAGAAATAAACAGCTGTAATAATAAAATAAAATGTAAAATGCTGTAATAATAATAAAAGTTGTACATCTTTCAGAGGATGCTGTTTTCATTCCATTTGAGGATGAGAGGGAAGAATACGTCCTGAGTGACTCTGGTTTGCTGTTCATGGGGACCCCGATGAATCCTGTGTCGAGACCATGGTCCTTTGATCAGGTAATTGAAAAAAAACATTTTGACTTTTTTATATATATWTTTTTTTCAGATTGTGTTTGGCACTGCACACGTGCCATTATTTACTTTGAACCACAGCAACAGCAGAATGATTAATTCAGTTGTTTTTATTTCTCTGTACAGTATGAGCCTGGTGTTTTGGAGGCATGTCTGGATCTGCTCCAAGTCAGCCCACAGCACCAGGTGAACAGAACCAAGGACTACCTGAAACGAAACAACCCCGTCTACATCAGCCGCGTTGTTTCTGCCATGGTGAGTGTAAACAGATCGTGAGAATGACAAACCGCTTCCAGTGTTCATTCTCACAGCTTTGTATGGCGTCACGAACAGCAYCATTGATCCAAACTACAGATCATAAAGATCATCACACAGCTGGCATGCTCTCCACATTAAAACGTCACACGGCAGACAGAGTTCTATAGCTGGCAGGCAGGCCTRGACGTCATGCCTAAACCTGCTTTTGAAAATTCAAAATTTCTCTCGTTTTTATTAACCTCAGATCAACTGTGAGGAYGATCGTGGCGTTCTGAAAGGAAACTGGTCTGAAGACTTCAAAGAAGGTGTCCATCCCTCCAAGTGGGCAGGAAGTGGGGACATCTTGAAACAGTGGGCAAAGTTTGGTTACAACCCAGTCAAGTACGGACAGTGCTGGGTGTTTGCAGCCGTCATGTGCACAGGTACATCCYGATAGCATAGTTTACTGCAATTGCTTATCATAAGTCTCCATAATAATCTTAAAAAGTATTTAATAATMAGCGTTAATTTTCAGCACTGTTTGACGTTCTCAGTTTCGAATCGAAATTGCTGTTAATTATCGTGAAGGTGTTTTCTAACTTTTACGTAAATGTCTGCACCTCTGTTTTTTTTTCTTCTTTTAGTCATGCGAGTTCTTGGCATTCCTTGCCGTGTTGTCACAAACTACAACTCTGCTCACGACACCAACGCCAACCTGGTGATCGAGGAGCACTACAGCGAAACGGGGCAGAAGCTGAACTACAGCAAAGACAGCGTTTGGTGAGTAAAGCTCAACCCCGAACCAATGTAAAGATGTCAATATTTATTTTCATGGATATTCATTCAAGTGGCCTTAATTGTCTTGTTTTGGGTCTTTTAACAGGAACTTTCATGTGTGGGTGGAGTGCTGGATGACTCGCAAAGATCTGGGCTCTGATATGAATGGCTGGCAAGTTCTTGATCCGACTCCTCAGCAGAGGAGTGAAGGTGTGTGAGAAGCATGGCTACAGTTTGTTTTAGATCTTTGTAAAAAAAATATGAACTTGTTTATAATTTATTTATTTATTTTCCCCATCATTGTAGGAGTGTTCTGCTGTGGCCCGGCTCCCGTCAAAGCAATAAAATACCAGTGCCTGGACCGTCCTTTTGACATTCCATTTGTCTACGCTGAGGTGAACGCTGCCGTGCACACCATCATCTGGAGCCAGGGTAATGTGGTTAGCTTCAGCACAGACACAGAGAGAGTCGGATCCTTCATCTGCACCAAAGCTGTTGGCTTCCCRAGATTGCAGAACATCACAGGAGATTACAAATCCATCAAAAGTACGATCCTAAAACAGAAACACGTTTATCCTAATTCTAATGCTTAACTCAGGAAACAATATTTACTGTTTTTTTTTTAATGCAGGCTCATCTTCAACACTTTCATCCAGAAGCTCCATAGTTTCAGATGATTCAACATTAAGCAGAGGTAATTTATCACTTTGAATATGTTGCTCGAGCTGAGAATCATTTATTTACAGTCCTCTCATTCAGGCTGCTATGTTTTACACAGGAGCCTCCTCCCAGAGAGTGACAGCCTTCTTGACTCTGGATAAATCTCCGGTGGCCGGGGAGCCCATTCGCTTCACAGTGAAGGTCGTGAACAGGCAGCGGGTGCCCAAGAAGCTGATCGTGCACCTTAACGCTCAGGCTAAAGAGTACAACCACGGTCCTTCTGACGCCTTCTGGGAAAACCATGGTGTCATGCAACTGGCACCCATGGAAGGTAAATTCACTTGATTGTTGTATTATATCGAATTAGGATTTGATGATGAATTCCACACACTTATTTCTGCTTCCTCTGTCACTCCAGTCAAAGTGCTGCAGCAGCAGATCCACCCAGCCCAGTACAAGAATGTTCTGGGAGATAATCTGATCAACTTGGCCGTTGTTTTGGAGGACACGGCCACTCGTGAGCGTGTACTTGCTGCGGAGGAGTTCAACATCTCCAGCCCAGAGCTCATCATAAAGGTACTTTACAAAGCGTGTAAACTAAGAGCTCCTAGACCAGGGGTGTCAAACTCATTTTCACCGAGGGCCACATGAGCGTTATGGTGGCCCTCGAAGGGCCACTTGTAATAAACTTTGACGTTTCATGTTTAACTTNGAGAAAGACTCCATTGTGCCAAACAAAGAGCATTCCGCCACAGTAACTTTCATCAACCTGTTCTCTCACCCAGTCAGTGGTGTCCTGACTGTGACTGGGGCTGGGCTAATAAATGGCAGGACTCAGTTCAGGTAAGAATCTGGATTGTTTGTTTTAACTTATTCATGATTTGTCGAAAGATAACGAGCATGACAATTGGCTGCAAAATGACAAGGTGTAGGAGTGTCAACAAGCAGAACGTTACAGAACACTGAAGGAATGCAGGGTGTGTTGTGAAACAAACCATAGAGTAGATTACGTTTTGCCAAATGATCCAATCATTTCAATTTGTTTCTCTAAAATCTTTGCGAGCGTGTTGATTTATGTCTCACTCTTGTTTCCCTGCAGGTTGAACTCACTGCGTCCAGGAGGAAAAGTTGAGCAACGCTTCTCGTTCACCCCCAGCATGAGTGGCGTAAAGATGCTGCACGCCAGCCTGTCGCTGTCAAACAGCAACGTTACAGTCAGAGGCTTTAAAATGGTTTCCATCAACAGTGTTTAGATGCTATGAAACTTGTCATGTGTTCTGTCCTCATGAATTATATAACTGTGAATGTACATGCTATTTATCCTGTTATTTATGTTTTTGCTATTTATTTTTATGAGTTTGTTGATTGTAAATTATGCTGATACTGTAAATTTTGCACTATAAACCAAAACAATGCTGCAAAAATTATCAAAAATTTTTCTGGTTGTTACTTTATTAAAAAAAATAAATAAATTAACTATGCCATATGTCTTTCAGTTTTTCTTACTCCCCACACACTGGAGTGATATTATCATGTGGTTTATTTTTTGTCCTGAAGAGGGCAACCTTTCCTCAGAAATTGGCCTCCATATTCAATACTCATAAAGACTCAAATATCCCTTACACATTGCCCACAGCCTCAGAATTTAGACAAACCTCATCAACAAAGGAAAGGAAAGCTTTATTTWTTTTTTAAATTATCTCATGTTCTTGTTGTTTTGGTTAAACCTTTAAAATATAGCTATGGACAAGGTAAGATATGTGTCCTAAATGTCTTACTGCTACTATCAAACCTGTAAAACTGACTGAATTAAACATTTATTATATAAACAAAACTTTACAAATAGTTTCATGTTAGCTCAGTTGGCTAAGACCACCATTTGGTTTGGGTTGACTTCATAAAAGTTAATTAGTTGTAGCTGCACATTATTTCCTGAAGGTTTCATTAAAATCCACCTGGAGGTCCATGAGTTACTTTCCTTACAGACTTCAAAAACTWAAGGACAACACTGATCTTGCACAAGCTGTTGTTCTTCCAGCTATTCCCTCCTCAGGGTTCCCCACAGAGTCAGCCTCCTCCATATCTCTAACTGCATCCATTTATCTCCTTGTTGTCTTTTTTCTGGCAGMTGCTTCTCTAACAGTCTYAAATCAATATCCCCACTCTCCCTCCTCTGGTTATGTGCAAAATATCTGGCCTCTCTAACTTTATCTTTGGGGAGGGGCAACTAGAGTTAGGGGCTCATCCTGGAACCAATGAGTTGTCCGTTCGAGTCCCCGATCCGTCCGCAGCTGTTGTGTCCTTTGGCAAGTCACTTCACTCGCCTTGCCTGCTGATGGTGGTCAGAGGGSTCGGTGGTGTCTTGTCTCTGTCARTCTGTCCCAGGGCAGCTGTGGCTACAATGTAGCTTACCACCATCAGTCTGTAGTGTAAAGCACTTTGGAGTCTTTGGACTTGATAAAGTGTTACATAAGTTCAGGCCATTTACCGTTTTCAGTTGTTCAACCTGTGCTGTACCTCTGTACCTTCAGCTCTGCACTTCCAGTTGTTTTATGTCAGTGACAAAACGTTACCTTGATCAAAAGTCAAACTCAGTCTCCTGAGTGGACATTAGGAACACTAACCGTTATATAATAGAAGCCTCTGTGAACTGTAAACACCAATATTTAGCACATTKTAAAATAGTCCTCTGCTGTTGGTCAGTGCTGCAGTCTTGCAGTCTTGAAGCTGCAGGTTCAAGCCCAGGTTGTGTCAGGAAGGACATCAGACACCACATCTTGTGAGTTTGCTTCCTGTGGCAACTCCCTGCCAAAAACCTGTGGTAGATGGATTGACATATGACCCTTTGTGTGTTTTACAATCAGTTGGCTGCTCCTCAAATTAAGTGGATTTCAAATATTATTCAGTTAAAGATGTACATCTAACTTTCAAAAAGTTTAATTTTTTCAGGGGTTCATGAAATATTTTTTCTAATAGATAGACATGAACAAAAACATTATTGCCACCAGTTTGGCCCTCGGTGGTTACTGGCTGCATTTTAAAATCTTCTTAAAATTAGCACAACTTTTGCGCTCGGATCACTCATCCCTTTTCTATTGTTCCAGACAAAACTCCACTCAGGATTTCTCAAAATGCAATTAATTTATCTTTATTATCTACTTTGTCTGTCAAAACAAATTGGGCAATAAAAAGCATTATATACAAATCACATTAAGCCGACAGGCAGTGTAATTAGCACATGCACAACCTTACTAGTTCATTTATATTACAACCAGGTTTATGGAGACTGAAACAGAGTCAGAAAAAGAATCAATGTACAACCCAGAATCAAAATTAAAGAATCAAGCACTGAACTAAAACACATCTGCAGGAAAACTTCATATCAAAACATTTGCTTTTGTCTTTACATATTTTTTATATTTTGCAGTCTAACTCATTATGCTATAGGACTGAACCTATAATAAATAGCTGTTATTATCATTCCAATGTATTGACTATTTTAATAGTCTCTAACTAAAAGATGTTTGTTTTACAATATTCTAGCTGACTAAAATGTCACATATAACATCACAATTTGTTTCTAACTTTATTTTAAAAAACAGTTTTAGCCCTTGAGACAGTTTAAGTCTGAAAACAAATAAAAGACAGAACAGAATAAAAAGTCAAAAACCAGACAGATGTTTTTTTTTTCCATTCAAAAACTCATTGAGCTCATTGAATAAGAAATCAGAATTTGCATTCAGTGCAATATTCAATAAGCTGAGATGAACAAAATAAACAGAAAGAAAAAGACATGTTTTTTTATATACATATATTTAATACTTGCAGTACTAGTCATAGTTCCCTGGKATTAGCTATGATTTGGTCCCTTATTTGTACTTTGCAAAGTTGGATGTCAGCACTTGTGGTTTCATGTCTGTGTCCGGCTGTCGCGTTGCTTGAAAGTCCTCAGGTGCTCCCTCAGAACAGCAATACTGATCTGAAGTCAGTTTCCACACGCACCTCAACTCTGGCTGCACAAAACAGACTTCAAGAGCTTCTCCTTGCTTTGAGTGCRGACGTTGACGGTTGATGCCCTCTAGAGGTAATCCAGCTCCAGTGCATGAGTCAGAGCCTCCAGATCTGCTCGACAGGACACCCTCCAGAATGGCATGTTCTTCTAGTTAAACACAATATAATATAAGGGTTATTATAAGGCACGCATGAGTCTTTCAGCAGCTTTAAGTCCCCTCTAGATATAAAAGATGCAGTGGGCTGGAAATAAATATGATTTGTGATAAAGACCATCTGGAAAAGAAGTTGGCTTAAACTGTAAAAACGATATTGTAAGATAAAAAAGGTCAGCCAAACTGCCAGATCCAGACAAGATTTTAACCATTAATGTAAAAATGTAAATTTTATTTGTCAGAAACAGAAGCCGCTGAAACAGATACAGCTGTAAAAATTAAATGATTAGTTGTGACCCATTTTTAAGCAGTCAGTCATAAAAAAAACCAGACTGTTACACCAACCTTCTTGGCTACGGTCTCCTCCTCGGCTCCATCTCCGATCACCACGTAAACCGCTCGCCGACCAAACCGTTGAGACACACGCTCAAAACAGCTCTCTTTTCCTTTAAAAAATGCAGGGAAAGACGTAAAAATATTAATGTTTCRGGTTAGGCTTTAAAAAAAATCAGATGACAGATTTACTGTTTTAGGAAATTATTTAGGAGAAAAAGAAATTAAGCAGTCCACATACTGTATTACTACTTAGTTCCACATCTCACTAAACTATTTGTCTCACCAATTTTCGTGGCGCTGTATATGTTCTCTATTGGGAAGGCTGAGCCAAGACCGTACAGTAAAACCTTGGAAAGGGCTGGGATGAGCTGAGTGGTGGTCACCAACACATTCACACAGTTTGGCCTGGAAAACGACAAGACAGACAAGATGTTAAAAATATGGTCGCTTACAGAAACTATGATTTTATTTCATTCTTGATGTGAGATTTGAGAAGAAAAGGAAACTTGAAAGCTTACAGCTGAGAAGTAAGGAGCTATTAATGCAAAGCAAGTTGGGGTAAGATGAACTGACCTTGAGTTAATGAGAGCCAAGGCTTTGAGTGCTTGAGTCAGCCACAGGTCAGTCAGAACTTCCATCTCTCTTCTGAGCTGTAACCATTCCTCTCGCTTGGGACTGCCCAGCAAACCTAAAATATATAAGCACCGGTGCTTATTATCAATATTTCTAAGCACATAAAACACAATTATCGTAGAGTAAAAGAAATCTCAAACCTGACTTTAATGTGTTTTATTTTCTTTAGTACATCAAATCAATTAAAGTCAGGGATCAGGTCTTGATTTTGACATAGACTTTATTGTTCTTTAACGTCTTCTTGCTCAGTTGCTACATAATCCAGTAACTTTTTTAGAATTTTTGTTTAGCAACTCATGACTAATAAATAAGTTCACCCAAGAATAAATGACCAAACAATAATTTTAAAAARTAACGTTTACTGAGAAGTGTCAAATGAAACAAATCAGGGAGTTACCTCCAACATTATTTTTGTAWGTGTTGTAAATCTCTTTGACTCTGCGGTATCGGAAAGCCAGTTTCCTCATCCAGTCGACTCCTCCGTGAACCCCTGACCCCAGGCACAAGGAGCCTGCTCCTGCTGGGCTCTGGAAGCCATCGGACCCAAAGTTGTAAGTGCTGCACGATCAAAACATATAATATAAATTATAATTATAAATATTTTCTTTACATTATTATAATTATTTAAAGGTAAAACTCTTCCACAAATCAATTTTAAGGCTTTTTGGAACTGCTTCAGATGATACAGATACATTAGCGAGTGGAAAAAGTAGATTTTTTTGGTAAAGTGTACCACTGAGAACACTTTAGGGTCAAGAAGAACCCTTTAAAAATGAATGAACTGCTTAAAATAAAAATTGTCTGTACAGCATTGCAAAAGTAAGTGTGTAATTATCTTTAAATGACATAAGCCAAGTTCAGTACAAAATAAATAAATAAATAAATAAATAAATAAATAAATAAAATAAAAAAATAGTACTATGTAACAGTCTGGCTCCTTCTCAAATCCCTCCTAAAAGTATCCTAGACAGTGTAAACC